GGATGAGCTGTATCCCTTTCCTCATCTGTAAAATGGGGCTGCCAATCCTTTCCCCCACAGGACTATTGCTTGGTATGCACAGGGCTTTGGATTGCAAGGAAGAGATGTGTTCCGCCCTGAAATAAGGTCGGGGGCTAATTAGTGGAGACATGGGCTGGCAGCAAACAGCTGTCAGCACAGTGGCCCAGACACCAGAGCTCCATTGCAGGATCCCTGGCCTCTCTGAGCCTGGTGCCTCCTTCGCTGCCAGACAGCTGCTGGTCTCTGCTTCATGGCTTCTGCCTTGGGGCCTCTTTCCCCCCAACCCAGGGACCCTGGACAGACTTCAGTTTCAACACTGACTACCCAAGGTATTTTCCCAGCTCAAGTGCCTCAGTAGTTATTTAGGAAGCCACATGGCAGGGCGTCAGCCAGCCTGTGGACAGATGCGCAGACCTGGGCCAGTCAACGGTGGGTAGGCAGGTTCCGGGATGAATGGTGTCAGGGCTCAGGGGAGACTCCTGAATGGATGATGCCTTTAAAGCAGTGGTTCTCCACCTTGGCTGCACATCAGTATCACCTCAGGGGCCGAGGCCACGTTCCAGATCAGAATTCTGAGGATGGGACCCAGGTATCAGTATTTCTTTTTTTTTTTTTAAGGAAACTTGATTGAAGTGTAACATTTGTACAGAAAAGTACACATCATTAGTGTGCAGCTTGGTGAGTTTTTATAATGTGAGCACACCCAGATCAAGAAACAACATGCCGTCACCCTGAAAGCTCCCGCATGCTCCCCCCAGTCTACCCTCCAAGGATAACCACTACCCCAGCTTCAGACACTGTGGTTTAATTTTGCTAGCCGAGGGGAGAACCACTGCTTTAATGGGCATGGCGATGGTTGACCACTGGGGTGGGAGGAAGTGGAACTTAGGTTTGGCGTGAAGAGGGAACAGTTTGAGCCAAGGCAGGGAGGAGTGGAGGAGCCTGGAGCAAGGTGGCCGTGGTGTAGACCCAGCTGGCACAGAGGGGAAAGAGAAAAAGATGAGAAAAGGCAGAATGTGAGCTCCATGAGGAAGACTTTGTTTTGTTCTTTGCCCCTTCCCTAGGCTGCCTGCAGTGCCTAACAAAGGAGGTGATTGATAAATACTTGTTGAATTAAATCTGGAGAATTCAGTTGGGATTCCCCTCTGGGTCTTTATGTCACAAGCAATAACCTCAGTTCCTGTTTATTGAGTGTTTGCTGCAAGCCAGAAGCATGAATCATCTCATTTAATCCTCGACAAAAGGTCGGTACCATTATTATTCGTTTTTTCAGATGAGGAAACTGGTTCAGAGAGGTTAAATGCCTTCCTCCAGGTTACCTGCAGGCTCAGCTGTAGAGCCTGGATTTACATGTGATCTGTCCACTCAGGTCTCTGTGCTTCAAGGGGAAGAGGGGCAGCCATATGGGATGGCTAGGGGACAGGAGACAGAACCTAAGCAGCCAGAGCCACAGTAGTCACTCATGAGATGTCTGGCTCATGTTTCACACCAGCCCTGGGCAGGATGTCCTGACCTCAGAAGATGGGAGAGAATCAGGGCCAAAAGCCATCTCCTCTCCAAAGGGGTTTTCCAGGTGGTCTCTTGGGCTAGGGACAGAGGGCAGGTTTTAGCTAGACATCTACCTCATGGGGAACACGAGGCACAGAGAAGGATAGGAATTTACCTGAAGTCACACAGCAAGGCAGCATTGAGGCCAGAGGTGAGTGTAGAGGAGAGTCCAGGTAGGAAGGTTTCCTGTGGTCAGAAAAGTCAGAATGACCCTTAGAACTCAAAGCACATGGCTAGATTAGCTGCCCTCCAGGAGCCCCATCATACACCTTGAATCGGTGTCTGTAGGTCCAGAGGGCTTGGAGAAGGGAGCAGCAAATATGGCTAAGGCCCTGGCTTAGACCTTCCTGGTGGGGCCTGGAGGGGATGGGGACCCAGGGGTCTGAACTGAAGCCCCAGCCCTGTCTTCACTGTGACCCTAGGCAGATGTCTGCCTCTGGACACAGGTGA